ATTTTGTTGCCCTCGGTAGAGTGCAATGGTGTCATAGCTCACAGCAACCTCAAACTCTTGGGCTCAAGAGATCCTCTTGCTACAGCCTCCCCAGTAGCTGGGACTACAGGGGCCCACCACAATGCCCAGCTATTTTAGAGATAGGTCTCTTTCCTGCTCAGGCTGGTCTCGAACTCCAGAGCTCAAGCAATCCACCCACCTTGGCCCCCAGTGAGCCACCTCACCCAGCCTGGAGTCCTTTGAAAGCATATTGCCAGCACCTATGCCACACCAACCGTCATTCTTGGCCACTTTACATGACAGCGGATCCTCACAAATTAGGGAGGGAAGAAGATAATTTCCCTGGCACAGTTAAGGGGACAAAAAGGAGTTTAAAGGGCTATAAAATGACTTGTGATTATGACTAGCAAGTTGCAGAGCCAAATTTGAACCCAAGTCAGTTTCATTCCTAAACTACCTCCTTGGAGTTCCCTGGATCCCTGACCTGACTGCAGTTCCTGTGTCCATCAGATGCCAATCACATCCTTACAGTAACTTTCATCCACCCTCCCGTTTTGTTCGTGCTAGGTAGAGTGGGGTTTCTGGCCCTTCAACACATTGTTGCCCAACCAGAACAAAATAACAGCTGCAGCCTGGCTCTGGGCTTCTCCATTCTTCCCAGTGGCAGAAGTTACAATCTCCCAGGCGCCCCATACTTTGGGAGCCAAAGCAAGTCAGAATTCATTACCCTAATCCAGGAGTATGGTGTGTGATTAACAGCCTAGGATTCTCCAAAGGACAAAAGCTGGAGCAGCAGGAATCCCTGGCTAGATCTCAGGCCGGCACCACGAAGCCTGCATCTGTCATCGAATATCTCACACGAGGCGAGCTCGGCCCCTGACCAGTGCATCTGAACTCCTCCACTGGGCAAGCACAAAATCTTAGTTCTAAGAATAGGGAAAAGGTCTTTCTATACACATCTTATTATAGGAGGCCTTTGGGGTGTTACAACCCCAAAGGGTACTTCATCTTATAAAGTACTAATTAAAAAAAGGATTTGTCTGCCTCAGTCCAATTGAAGTTTCGATGTCATGCTAACTTTTAATATTGCTTTAAGAGTGTATCATTGCCTTGAAACTGTTTTAAAGCAATTAGAAAGCTGAGATAAAATCTAGTTATGCAATATTTTTTAATGAATCACTTTTTTTTTTTTTTT